TTGACTGCACCTAAGGACTTTGTTCTTTTTAATTGGCATCCTTTGGAGAGCAAGTTGATATAATATATTACACCATCTGGAAACCATTACTAATTTAATCTTTATTGATTAAATAAGATAGCATTAAAAATAAAGATTAAAAGTTTGCTGGGGCTCCAAGGCATAACCCATAATCCGGATATCTTTAGGTGACAAATGTTTGTCTAAATCACTCCAGATCAGTATAAAATTCCTTACTTTTTTCAACATGCAAGAGCTTTCTGCTAAAACATCTCAAATGCATGGAAAATGTTTTGAAGAGGTCAGTCCATTAAATGATGACCCACCCCAACTCCAAGGCCTGTGTAAATTTAATATGCAAGTTTTGTATAATTTTACTTTTCAGACATCACCATCTTATACTAAAACTAGCCAGAATGCTAGCAGAGTATATAGGTTTGTTCTATACTGTCAGTATTGTCATTTATTATTAATTTTCCCTATTTGAGAAAGTTATAAATAAAATTTCCTTGGACTGAAGAAATTGAATTTGGGGTGAAAATCCTTTTAGACTTGTTTTTGTTTTTAAGGGTATATAGTTGTTGAATTTGGGAACATAACTATTAGTTCAGAATTTTGAAACTCTGTTTTTAAAATATATTTACATCTGCATCTTATCTATAAAATAATATATTTAAATGTAGCAATTGCACACTCTTCCTATTAAGAACTATAAAGATCTAACTTTTTAATTTAAAAAAAAAATTGAAGTTATCATGTGAAATTCTATTTTTACCATCAGTTTACACTCAAAATATATCAGTTTCCTTGAATTGATGATACAGCCTTAAAGAACTGAATATTTGTAGAATCAAATATTTACCTATGAATCCCAAATAAAAATCATTTCATATATGAATTTTGTTTTGGAAGAATCATTAGTTTTTGTAGAAACTTTAAGTCGAATACCAATCCTCTGAGAATGAATATTACACAATTTATAAATTCAGTCTGCATATATATTAAATTTCCTATTCCTAATTGTTAAGATATTCAATATTTTTATATTGTGTGATATTATTTACCCATTAGCAATAAATGTTAAACCAGATATGCGACAGTTATAAAAAATCCCTTCTTTCTTTCTTTCTTTCTTTCTTTCTTTCTTTCTTTCTTTCTTTCTTTCTTTCTTTCTTTCTTTCTTTCTTTCTTTCTTTCTTTCTTTC